GATTTCGTTTTAGTTACATTGCGTAGTATATATATACAACGCCTATGTGACTGATTCGATACACCGAATTAAACGAAATCACTCTCTTCATCTCTTACGCTTCGGCTTCATCTTTTTTCTCTTGCTGCAACCAAGGTATAATCCGGTCTAAGTGAGGGTTCGAGCAATCTAGAAGAATTGTTTTCTACTGTTGTATCCTGGGAAACAAACACTCATATAGGGCGAATTTGTTTTCAGGAAACTGTGTTAAACACATGTCTCAGTCAATAATTTTTTGGGTTTTGTTCTTTCGTATAGTTTTTGGGTTATATTTTCCTAACAGAGTCATCATATGGAAGTCTCCCAAACATACAATTATAAATTGTCTTGAGGTATCCAGTTTCACATGTGGCTACATTTTATTGTTAATAAATTATGGAACAAATTACTGAAATCGTCTATGTGGTTTGTTAAAATTTCACGTTTGGTACCTAAGTTTTTTTTTTGCACTCGGACTGTCCCTATAGTTTGTTTTTGTTGCGTGTTTCGTCTCTGACCAACATGAAATGACCTTTTTTCCCTTTATATTTTCTTTCTCAGTTTTTTTGTTTGTTATTTACAAATTATATAAAAAATTAATTAATTTATAAATATGTGAGACCCAATCTCACTCTCACTCCTACCACCACTAGTGCCACCGGACAACCATTAGTAGTCACCAACGGCCATCATCCTCACCCACCACTGCCATCAATCACCACCACCCCTACCATCAGCTACCACCGCCACAATAATTGTCGTTGAACAACACTCACACCCACACCTACCATCAGTTACAGCACAAAGCAGTACAACCTCAACCTGACCCACACAATATGTCGACATATAACAGATAATATCATAAGCAGATAAACAAGCAATTCACAGGTAGTCCTACAAGTCTACCAGACTAGCTTAACAAGACTAGCATGCATAACTATCTTATACTCAGCTTATCAAACCAATGGGCCGTCCTTGGTGCCTTCGACCCAAAAGTATAGTGAGGAAGACTCACCTCATACTAATGTATCAAACAAAACCTCTGGCCGCTAGCTCACGAAAACCTTGAACTATCATAATAAATAAACCTCCAATTAATAATTGGATTATCACCTCAAATCTCATAACTCATAATTGTCCATTAACTCTTCCTTAACTGGGCCAAAGCCCAAGTCCAACCTTGATCCAAAAAGGTCCAAAATATACAAGGCCCATAATTGGCCCAATTTTCCAAATTGGGCCCAACTCCCTAATAGACATCATTCTAAGGCCTAATTCCCTTAACTGGCCCAGAATACTTCTACTCAGAAATTCCATTAAGGGCCTAAGCCCAACCTGGCCCAAAGATGGCCCAAAACCAAAGCCCAACTCGTAAAAGCCCAACATATAGCATACGTTGGGCGTACTCCAAGGCTACACGGGGGTACGCGAGCCATGCATTGACTGTAAATGGGGGCGTTGACTGCGTACGCGGGCCGTACTCCATTTATGTGGGGCGTACCCTCGCAGAGTTCAAAACTCTAATAAGTGCTTAATGGCTTAAGCACTTAAGCCCAATTTCCAGATTCATCGACCAAATGTATCTCAGAACCATAAAGTCTCAAACTTTAAGACTTTGGACGTCCAAAAAGTCCTTAATACATGATCTTAATCCATTAAGACCTCCTATAAGCAACATGAAGCCAAATTAGCCAAATGAACCTCATTTTTATAACTTAGAGCCCTTCCTAGGGTATGAAAGGACAACTCAAAACGTCCAAGACAAATCATGCACAACTTTGGGACTTTTGGAACAAGAAGGGCACCAGAAGCTATCAAAACAAGATCTACTCAATACAAGCACAAAGGCAGAAGCTTTTTACCTTCTGGAGCTTCTAAATGACAAGATGATCTCAGATCTACAAGCTTGCTACACTCTCCAAACACCTTGATGCAACTTCTTCTTCTTCAACCACACAAGAAACACACTCTTAGCTCATACACACACAAAAAAGAAGCTAGGGTTGCTAAGAAACAATCTTAGGACTTGGAGGCTGAAAGGATGGGGGTGAAGGGTCCATAATGGGGTTTAAATACCCAACAAATCCTAAAAGTTAGGGTTGCACTCGGACATACGTACGCCCTGCGTACATATGCGTACGCCCAGCGTACTCATATGTACACCTAGCGTACTCCCCCTTCGACCAAAATTACCAATTTGCCCCTCGGGCCTCTTAGGACTAAATTCAACCAATTTCAAAGATCAATCATGACATAATAATTTACTGAAGGAAGGATTTGAAAATACCTGGAAACACGAGATGTTACAATATTTATATTGTGTAAAGAACAAATTACACTAAATACCACAATTTAACTAATTAAAAAATATATAACATGTAATTTTACATTGTAAACCAATTTTATCCACATTTGATATATGTCATTAAATGTATAGGTATGGTGATCTGGTGATTTAATTATCCTTTAGATATATGATCTTACCTTGGTTTGATACCAATGCATAAGATAGACCAGATTGTTTAAAGAAAATTCTAAAAATATATAAAAACTTATTTATTATCTTCAAGGAATTTTCTATTAAGATGATCTTAAATCTTTGATATATTAAAAAATATTATTTATCATCATTCAATTAATTTAACAAATTATAATTTAATAAGGCTTTTAATATCGTTGGTCATCACCATAAGGTCGGGGCTCATATGGCAATACCACTGTCATTCAATTATGTACTCTCTTTCTCCACATATATATATATATATATATATATATATATATATATATATATATATATATATAGGGTTAGGTTATTGTGTTCTAACTATCTATTGTGTGCATATATGATTGATTTTGGACCAATCATTTTAGTTATTTTAAGAAAGTAATTAATGTATATTACATGTTAAAGATATAATGAGCATTAATTAAACCTTCAACATTTAATATGCATTAATTATTTTCTTAAAATAACTTAAATGATTGGTCTAAATGTGGATTGACATCTATTGTGCGGACGTGTGGACAGTGTTATTATGTGAGAATGACAAATAGAATATGTTGTTTGATAATATGAGTACGTTCAATCTTACATAACTATTGTCATTATCACACATTCTCACTAATTAAATCGTCTATAAGGTTATTATAGACTTTTTATTATTATTCTCATTCTGTCAGAATGTTTATTGAGTCGTATTCTGTAAGAATGAAAATGAGTGAAAAACGATGTGTGAGAACAAAAATGAATAAGAATTAGTGAGAATGCATGAAAATGACGATAGTTATGTGAGGTTGAACGTATTCGCTTTACTAAACAACTTAATCTCTTAGTAATTCTCATAGAATAGCATTGTCCACACATCCGCACAATAGTTGTCCATCCACATTATAACCTAGTCATATATATATATATATATATATATATATATATATATATATATAGAGAGAGAGAGAGAGAGAGAGAGAGGGAGAGAGGTTCAAATGTTTTTACTATCTATTGTGTGCTTGTAGTAGTGATTCTGGACCAATCATTTTAGTTATTTTAAGAAAATAATTAATGCATATTAAATGTTGAAGGTTTAATTAATCCTCATTATATCTCATTATATCTTTAATATGTAATATACATTATTTACTTTTTTAAAATAACTAAAATGATTGGTCCAGAATCAATCCTACATGCACACAATAGATAGTTAGATCACAATAACCTAACCCTATATATATGATTTTAAAAACAAAATAAAAAATACAATAACATAAAACTATATTTGAGCCTGAGTTAACTATATATATATATATATATATATATATATATATATATATATATATATTCCTCCTCAACTAGGGAATCTATATGAATTGCGCATCCTTTCTCTCGGAAGTTTTTACAACGCTATATTTGAGCCTGAGTTAACTCGCATGACCTGGATATGAGTGGTGTAGACCTAGGCAAAGTAATTGATTGGGTTCAGGTGATTAATACTCTCTCTTCTTTGGTTGAACTACATATGTCTCATAGTAATCTCTCACATTCAAATATGTATCCCCATGTTGCTAGACTTAATGTTACATCCGTAGCTCACCTCGATCTTTGAGATAACTATTTCATCAACAATTCCCTACCACAGTGGATTTTCAGTATAAATACTCTAATTTCACTAGATCTGAGTTGGTGTGGTTTTCATGGCCATATTCCTAGCAGCATTGATCTCTTCAGTAATTTGACTTCTCTCGAGGCGCTTCACGTCCCAAATAACCCTTTCATGAACTCTTGGTTAGTACTGAAAGGGTTGTCTAGTAATGTAGGTCGTAATCTCATTTCCTTAGATATTAGTTTTTGTGGCGTTTCTAGTTCACTTCTTGATGATGCCCTTCACAACTTGACTTCTCTTCTTAGCCTTGATTTGTCAAAAAAAAATGAACTCACCAAAACAATCCCCAAGTCATTGGCTGATTTTTGCAATTTGAGACATGTTAATTTAGGAGGTAACTATTTTCCTAATATTAGTTTAACAAGATTTCTTGAAAGTTTTTTTGAGTGCAAGCCATCGAGCTTGGAGTCATTATCTCTTGGGTCCTCCAGATTTTCTGGTCAACTACCATATGAAATCAGACAACTGATAAAGTGTTGGATACATAACACCCACACCTTGTACCTTTGGACCAATCTGCAATGCAACAGATATATAACAGAACACAAGGGTTAAAGAAAACTAATAGCAACATACTTTTGTTGAATTTTTTATTATAGCATTCTACTTTCAACTCCCAACATAACAGAGTAATTCATAATGATTCGGGAACAAAAGTAAATATCCCTCTAGACATGGGCGGGTATATTTTATAAAATGAATGGTTTCGAAAGTTATGGTTACAACTACCATAACGATGTAAGTACCATGCCATTTCCTGAAAGTTGAATGTTATTTACAACCATCAGAAACTTAAAAAAATTGACATTGAATTTTTTCACAACTGCCAGCAAAGAAAAACATTATTTTACTACTATTCTATTAGACATTAAACAATAATAAAAATACATTTTTTTTAAATCAGACCTCGCATTAGACGTTAAACCTTCAATGTATGTAATGATTGGCCTATCAAATAAATACAACATCCATAATTATATGTTTAAATATAACAAAACAGGAAAAAACAAAAACGAATACATGAAATAGTACACAAATAACCAAACCAGAGATGATCGTTAGCTCCAAATTAGTTTGAAGTCCATGTAGACATCAGGAGCCGACCCGTCTAGCAAGTTTCTGGGGAAATTTGTTAGGCTTTTCCATTTCTGATGACCATCCTTTCTAATTTCAACATGTTTCAGGTGATGAGGCCAATACCGGGTTCCGGTCTTCTTGATCTTCTTCTCCAAGACCTCCCTCAGCATCAGCCTGCAAAAGTGATTGTTGTGTAGGAAGAACCCGTCTAGCATTGCAAATAGGTGCTTGGGGTGGCAAATATCAAAGAATGCATCAAAAAATGGGGATCCTTCCCACATGCATTCATCCTTTAAGGTTTGAAACAACAGTTGTTGCACGTTGGTAGCAGGAGGAAACAGGAGCCTTGTTCGCAGATCATCGATGTTCATGTCCAAAGGTGGCTTAGAAACCGTTAATTTCTATACGAAGGTGGCACTTGTGTCATAACGTGAGTGCTTCCCTTATCTTAAGGAAAAAAGAAGCATCAACAGGATGTTTGAGTCTGAGTGAAAGCTTGATTTGCTCGAAGAGAGGAGACGAGATCGGAAACAAGAGAATAGGTAATGTGGAGCCACCGAACTCGAAAGAAAGTAATTTTGGAGCATGTACTTGTATGTCAATAATGTTGCGTGGGCACCTCAGCAAAGTAAATCTCTTGATGGAAGCACATCTGAAATGGAAGCTCCCCGACATCCAAGATGTCAAAGTAAGGGTCAAACTCTCAAGAAAAGGAAACCCCAATGCGATCATGTCGAGACAATCGTTGCTCAGTATCACACCGCCTAACACTAATTGTGTCACGCTGCTTCCCAATGATATTGAATGGCCATTGAATGGAATAAGAGGCATCTGAGGATCCCAAACATCTAGTTCGTAGCTAAATATGCCAAGTTTAGGGACATGACTGATTTCAAAAATAGATTCATCATCTTCCAAAGATATGCTCAATTCATAAAGACGGGGAAGGTTTGCAACCATGATGGTCTTGCAAGAATGTAAAAGCTCTATCTTCTCAAGCAAGCTACAAGACGACAATATCTCATGGAGTGCCTCTTCACTTATGCACACACCATACAAGTGCAGTTCTCGTAGGGACACACAATTGATCATACATGGGGGAGGAGTCATCCAAACGGAATGGAAGCTGAAACTCTTATTTTAGTTAGGTTCTCGCCCGAGAGTATCTCATCTGGCAACGTAAACAAGGGACACCAAAGGGCCATTGAGAGGTAAAACTCTTTAAGACAAGCTTTGGTTCCCACGAGCCTGATCCATTTTTCAGCATGAGAAGTTGACTCCTGGTTTGCGATGTCGATCATAAGGTCAAATGTTTCGATTGGTATGTTGTCACGGTGATACCTTATCAGAGTGCGGTCCACGTCCACCAACTTCAAGTGCTTTCCTCTTTGAACATCAAACCTGAGGTTAGGGATGGTAGACCAAGCGTGTAGCGATGACTTGGACAAAACGCTGGTGCGGGCTGCTTCATTTATCGACAACCGTGATTGTATATGCTGCATCAACACTGGAACATCTTCTACTTCTGGTCTCATCCCTTCAAACCCATAACAACAAATCATCAAATTTCCAAAAAGAATTCAAGTATAAAAACTATCATCTTAATTATCTTTTATGCATATAACAAGAGCAGCAGCATGAAATCACCAAAACCAAAATCACCTACACTTGTTTCAACAACCAAAACCAAACCAACACTGCTATACAACCAGATATTCAACTTCAAATCAAACCAAAAACAGCAGTTTTGCATATCCATCACTGTATATTTCACATATTCACAAGCAGATGTAGGGAAGCTCTGTGAGTGATACAGATTTATGCAACAACAAAAACCATACAAAAAAGACAACTTGCAATCATGTTTGGCTGCACAATTACTATTAGTCAACTACTACAGTAACCATTCAACAAAAACTCTTACCCATCAAAAGACCGTCGATATGAGGTTGGGTAGTCCTCAAATCGCTTTCAATCTCTTCCAAACCACAAAAAGTTTCAAATTTTCTCTTTACAAACAAAAACCAAGACATACAAACGTCGATTGATACCCAGAATCCCAAACTTATAACAAAAACCCCTTTCGACTTTAGTTGTTGCAGTTTATGCCTACAATTGTTCATATGGAGGATCCCCACCCACTAAACAAGATGCAAAACAAATCGTAGGATTTACCTGATGATACGATCCAATTGATTAAGGCGAAGAAAGAATAATCTCAGCGATAACCAGTACCACAATCACCAGAAAACCTAATACCAAAGAATAGATAGATTTGGTTGCGTTAAAAAGTAAAGAGAAATATATATTATATATATATATATATATATATATATATATATATATATATATATATATATATATATATATATATATATACTAGGTTTAAACCCGTGGAAATCCACGGTTGATAATCTGAAATAGAATTATAATTTTGATTTTGACTGTCTAATAAAAAAAAGATATCAGAGTTTAGAAAAAATGAAGAATAGTGATATTATAATTAACATGAATCTGATATTTGAATGTATATTAGATTTTGCCTATTCAAACAAATGTCAATTGATTTTTGTTATATGTTTTTTTCTAAACATATGTATCAAATACTTTTCAACTTAGGGGAAATATGGTCTTTTTTGGAGTAAATGAATTGGAGAAGGGTAAAATGGTTGTTTTAAAACTTATATAACAATTGTGAAGTATAAGCACATACAGTTATATAAGATACATATATAACATTGAAAGTACAATACTATAATGAGAAAAAAACTAAAAAAATTCAAACTTTTGTTTCTTCATGAAAGTATAATGCCATTTTACAAAAGGGTCTCTTTGGTAGAAAAAAATAACATAACTGGTCCATGTGACATAAAAAAGGCATAACAGTAAAATAAAAAGCTGTAAAGCATTATTTCATGCTAACATAAAAAAATCTGAATTGCTCTTGCATATTTGAATGTATATTCGATTTTGCCTATTCAAACAAATGTCAATTCATTTTTGTTATTTGTTTTTTGTTACATTATGATTGTTTAAATTTTGCTTCAAGCAAGTGAATATCAGATTGTTTAAACAAAAGAATTGAATATGTGACAAACACTAACAGTAGACTATATCAGAAGTTTATTACTGAAAACACATCAAAAATTAAGAAGCAGAAGCAGAAAAAAGAACAATGTAGTGAATGAAAAGTGGGTTGAAATCGATTAAGAATGTGAATGAAAAAAGAACATCTAAAAGGTAAAGAACAATGTAGTCTTACTAACCTGATGATGAATATTTGACCTCTAAAATCGTAATGAAACAGGAACGTAAATAGGAATCGTTTTGACCTCAGAAATCGTATTGAAATATATCATATCCTCCTAAGTTGACTGCCTGATTTATTGGGATTGATATTAAATGAAATTTAAATTGATTTCCTGATTCATTGGGATTGATATTCCATATTCCATAGATAGATATAGATAGAGATTAACAAAAAATTTCTTCTAGATTTGTTGCAGATATGTACGTTATAATTGAAATTTAAGTTTGAAATTTCCTGATTTACAGTATTTTCTGGTTCCTGATTTAAAGGATTTTTTTTCGAATGGAAGGGCAAAGTGGGAACTTCAATTACAACGTATGCAGATACTAAGAATATTTTATACAAATAATGTAGTTTGGTTGGCCAACTGGTTTTTAATAAAACCAAAACTACATTAATATTTTTTTCGCGTTTAACTTGAAATCTGTTTTTTTTATTATTATTATCAAGAAGTAACTTTGAACTTGAACATGCAATTTTATCATTTTAATCCGAAAAAAGAAATTTTTTAATTCTAACCCAAATCATTCACTTTAATAATAGATAATTTCTAACAGGAAATAGGTTCAATTTCCTAAAACATAAATTTGATTTAATATACAACAACATTCATCTGAAGTCAAATGTCTTAAGTATATAACACAACATACAACAACACTACTACCAATACCTTGCCCTTATAGACACTTTCACTCCTGCATATCAACCTCAGATTTCTCAAGCTCAATTTCAATCTGCATAAAATCACAACATACTTTCATTAATTTGTTTATTAACAAAAATTTTGTTAGAAAAGAGCATAATTTGAAGTAGAATGCTATAAATAAAATAGACCATGCCCTCATATTGATTCTTGACATAGGTTGCGATTTCATTTAAAAAACGGAACCCAACATGTTCACCCGTGATTAAAACATTCAAAATCCAAGGGACATATTCTACAGAATAAACACTATAAGTGTTGTTTATAAAATCCCAGTTATAGACATAAAGCTAGATAAACACTATGGGGTTGTTCATAAGTTTTTCATATACCTTATTACAGAAAGCAGTTATCATCTTCATGGCCTTCTCTGTATAAACAGTTTCCATGCATGGTCCAACATATACCATACATGTGCTCTATAATAGCATGAACATGCATTTTGTAGCTGTAAAACAGATATAAAAGAAAGACTAAAATGTACAACCAATCAAATTCACGGGTGAAATAAAAAAAATGAAAAAACAACATTACATAAGAGATTAATGAAAAACAAAAATTTAGCCAATTTATATCATATTACTTACCATAATTTAAAGTACTTTCCCCATGTTCTTGTCTCTATAAAATAAAGAACAGAGGTCAACCTAAATGACTTAATTAGAATCTATATTTGATTTTAACTCACTTGTATATGAAAATTTGAACATGAAAAATAGAATAGAGAATACCTGGTTGGCTGAAGTAGACTTCACAACCCTTGTCAGAGAAATAGAACTCCATACGAGTCCTATCAGGTAAGGTATTGCCTTTGTGGAACAAAAGGTGTTTCTTAAATCTCTCTTGATAAAACTTCTATTGGTGCTTCGGTTTCACTAATCTCTGAAGAGGGATAATTTTGATTGGCAGTATCCACCATTAAGTGAACCATTGTATGCCATTGCTAACTGAACCCTAGATTCAGTTGCAAGATGACTATCATAACCAAATTCATGCCACAAGAGAAAGGAAGAGAAAAATGGACAATGATTTCAGAAACCAAATCAACAATTTTGAATGTGCCCTTGACTTTATAGGTCGATTTAATTATCAAATTTTCTCCAAGTTTAACGAATCAATTTCATTTCAAAAGTTATTCACTCGATATCAAAAGGAAAATCAAGTGCAACTATATCTTTCAAAGCCTAAGTCTTCTATTACGAAAAATTAAACCATATAACTTCTCATTCATATAGAAACTTAAAAAACAATTAAGAACATATGAATGATCCCTCTAAAATAAGAACAAGGAAAAGCAATCGAATCAAGAAACAAAATTAAATATCATGAAATTTGAAAACCATTTTGATAAACTTGAATTACTCGTAATGAACAGGAAATAGAAAATGAAAGAACTGTTCGTGTAGACCCGAAGTTGATTAATTGGGGGTTCTATAATTTGTAGCTACAAGTAAAAGCTCTCGAGGCCGATACTACAATGCAATAACCCTCAGCCAAATCCAATCGAATGTCAAATGACATCAAATGAAAAATATATTTCGAAAACTCTAAATCCAATAATTTTACAAATCACAATCAAGAAATCGTAAACACGGTGGTAAGGTACAACATACGTTATAGAACCAAGAGCTTATTATGCCCCTTCTCGCTCTATAGCTCCAAGGGAACCCCAACTTATAGTTACAGATTCGTGGATTATAATTAAAGGAATGAAATTTAAGTTTGAAATTTCCTGATTTCTTGATTTACAGTATTTTCTGTTTCCTGATTTACAGGATTTTTTTAGAATAGAAGGGCAAAATGGGAACTTCACTTACAAGTTTTGAGCGGGAAAAATCAAGGAGGAGGTGCTAAGGGAATGCCACGTGGCGTTTTTGGTACTGTTTTATTAGAAGAGAGGATATATATATATATAGGGAAAGGATCAAATGAGAACACCTAAAAGGTTGAGAACGCGAGAACAAGTATATTCATTTGTGATTCCGTGTATTCATTTGTGGAGAAATGATAAATTTTTACGCACAATCAACATGAATATGCTTTTTCTCTTCAATTGAAATTAAAGGCATAAAAATTTATCATTCCTCCACAAATTAATACATGGAATCACAAATGAATATACTTTGTTCTCGCGTTCTCAACCTTTTTGGTGTTCTCATTTGATCATACTATATATATATATATATATATATATATATATATACTAGAAAAGTTTGAGGCCCGTGCTAAGCACGACCCACGAAGGGCAATTTGGGTATATCTTTTACTGTTAGTTAAAGTATATTATGCTAATTACCAAAAACGTAAAAGTACAATGCTATAAATGGGTGGATTTTCTATGTACAATGCATGAATAAGAAAATGAAAATGAAAATGAAAGTATGTTGTTATAATCAACAAATAAATGAAAATCTATTGCGATTTCATGATATGATTTTTCACCTTATGGAAAACCTGTTACTTATCAACATCATTTTTTGTGCACTTTACGGATATTGGGATAAATCATGAAACATCAGCTTTGATTTCTGAATCAAGGCTTTAGGCACTTGCTACTTGGTTGCCCGTTGATCTTTATTTCTACGTGACTACTTCTTAATTCGATGTGACCTAAATAATTAAACATGAATTAGAAGGATTTTAGACTTTAAAAGCTTTTTTTTTGCAACCGTTTATACATACTTGTTGCATTCAAATAGGTATTTGATGTGTTATTTAATTGAACAAAAGTGATTTCGAATATCTTGTTAATGGATGTTGTGTAGTGATAACTGATAAGTTCAATACTCTAAGAACACTCATCCCCCTAATGACCTTTTTTATGTGTATCAATTCATGTGTCTGAATTGAATGAGGCACAATTCCTACCTTGCACCTCATTTTATGTCATGATATTAACAATTATATATGATATTTGTGTAGATATAACTATGATTCTAATTAAAGGCTTACTTTGAACTATCCAAATATATTTTATAGATCTGCCAGTAGCTAAGCTTCCATCAAACTGTTTCGATGGATAAATGTAATTTTAGTAAAATACTTACAATTAACAATTATATATTTGTATTAAACTATTCTACACATATACAAACCTCTTCAAATTGAACTAATAAACAAACACTTTTGTCAGTCTGTTTTCAGATGGTCAAAAGTTTTGGGTTAACTCTCTTCTCGATCGGAAACAACCGAGAATACGAAAATCCTTAAGAATACATCTCAAGTTAAGCAAACCAATTGTGAATAAACTTATGGCATTACTTCTAGACCAAGTAAAATTAAGTGTTGATGGCAAGATCAACATTAAGTGTTGTAAGTCTAGACATTCACAAGGGACGAGTTGATGGCAAGACCAATTAAAGTGTTGTGAGCCTAGATACTTGTGGGGTCGGTATAGACCCGTTGCATGCATTGTATTTGTATTGTTGTATGGGGTATTTTGGGGAACTCACTAAGCTTTGGCTTACAGTTGTGGATTCAAATGTTTTCCAGGTACTTATCGGATTGCGAAGTCGGGAATGTACACACGCACATCTATGGTTTTATGATTTGAGATTCCGCATTGTTTTCCTTATAACTCTGATTTTGAATTATGGTTTATGAACAAATGGTTTGAATTTAATGTGACTTTATAAAAATGGATGTTTATTCTATTTTAAAAATGAAAATTTTTATTCTGGAATTAGGGACGTTACAATACTGCTAGCTAATTTTCTGAAGTTTGATTGCTTCAGGTGATGTTCAAAGATTCTTGTAGTGTTCCTTCCAATCGTTATAACGTAAATAACGAATCATAACTGTTAGAATAATATACTTTGAAATTCTCTTTCAACTATAGCAATACAATTAATTAAGAAATGGCAATGTACATTCATATTTGTATAGCATACTATCGCAGAGAATAGCAACGTACTTTACTGTGGCTACCAATTCAGGCAATGTACTTTAGCTTTACACAAAAGCAACACCTTCTACTACCCCCCGCACCGCGGGGGAAGACCTTCTAGTTGTTTATTAAGATACTTGTAACAATATTTAAAGGTTTTTTTTTCAGAAAAATCCTATTATTTGGGAGAAATTAATGAAAAGATCCCAAAATAATTTTTTAATAGAAAAACCCTTGTAATCTTTCATCACACGCTAATTGAAAAGATCTGTGATTTGGAATTTGGAAATTGATTAGGCGGAATACATAGATCTAGGGGTGTGTATGTGACGGTTTGGTTTAGTTATTAGACAAAACCAAACCATAATCGTTATAATCACTAAATGCATTTTGGTAACCACTAGGTGTCGGTTAGTAATGGATTTGGTTATTGATTAATATCGATTAATCATAATAGTACAAAAATTACATAAAAAATAGAAAGTACATTTTTGTAAAAATGAAAAAAACAAAAAGTAAATTGTTATAAAAATGATAGAAAATACTATTTTGTTAACTTAGTTGTAATCTTTCATCTATTAAGTTAGACACCTAAAAACCACCACATATATATATATATATATATATATATATATATATAGAGAGAGAGAGAGAGCAAGGATCATTTGAGAACTCATAGTTTCCCGAGAACCCGAGAACTAAAGGTGGAACGTTAGACCAAAAAAACGGATGACCAAGATCACTTGTGGCGTTTTTGTAAATAAATAGAAACTTATTAGGGCAGGGGTATCTAAACTTAAAAAGGGAAAGGGTATTATAGGAAAAAAAATAATTTAATATTATCCCAAATCACAGATCTGGAGCTTGAAAAATATCTCGTTCTCTCTCCCTCTCCCTCTCCCTCTCATTCTCTCTCACGGTTTACCCTCCAACGACCACCGTATCTCTGTCAATGACCACCGCCTACAACGGCCTTCGAGATCGTGAATAATGAAATATTCGTCACCGTTCCTTCCTTCCTCCCATCGTCGCCTCGTCTACTGATTGTGTCGCATCATCACTCAGGTTCTTCATTGAAATTTATGGATCCACAATCGATCCTACTTTTATCTCTGATTATCATCAATTGAGATAAAATCTGAAATCCTCTGACGATCAAAGCTTCTATATCGTCGATCATCAATGTCGTTGTATCCTAAAATGCCGGAGAATCTGTCGATTAAAAACACAGGAAAAAATATTTGCCATGGATCCAAAAACGAGAAGAATCGCGATTGGAAAATCGAATATACAGGTATGTGTCCTCTCTATTTTTCTATAAATTCATCCATTTTAATTAGAACAATTATTTATTTTCATTGGATTGTCAATGATGTCACTTCAATTTGATGTATGAATCTCGACTGATTTCTCTCGTTAATATCTCCATACGTTTTTATCAATTGTTTACCCTTGATGTTTATCTTCTTATCTGAAATTTATTCTCAAATTTGATCAGTTTTTGAAAATTATTGTTTTCATTGGATTGTCAATGATGCTGTATGATTGAATGTCGACTGATTTCCTTCCTTTCTGATCTTGTAATTTGGATATACAAATTGATTGTCATGTAACCTATTATGTGTATGTAATAATCTATAAAATGGTGGTAATCATTTCGTGAATATGATCATAATTTGGAATTCAATTTTATTCTACAATGGTGCAATGATCAAACGAAACCTTTATTTGTGCCAGTTTTAAGTTGATTGAGATGTTATTTGTTTAAGTTGGCATGAAGATACATACAAATTGCTTTCTCACCATATCTAAGTTATATATAAAGTGCATGATATTAATGGTTTTTAAAGGTTCTGTTATGATATACTTATGATCATTGCAGAAGAATCTTCATGGA